CGCGTATATGCATAATGGATTGAAGTCTAAATCTAAACGTCATTTGACATACACGTGGATTAAGCGACCAGGTCAACCACCCATATCACCAAAGGAAACACAGTCAGCCCGTTCACCAGCTTCCACAATGGCGGAGGGTGTTCGATAGCATCACGTCTCATATATTGTGCCTTGACGTTTTGGTCCGCAGCTCGACTCGTCGACTCACTAACCACTAATTCACAATGGACCACATATCAAAGAGTATTTTATATATCAAAAAAAAAAAGTAGTTTTTCTTCATAAAACTTTTAAAATGTGGAGCTATATAAGGCTCGAAAAGAGAAGAACAATTAGAGTGGTTAAACCTATTTAACCTGCACTAGTATATTGTTGCGTCAGCGAGGTCACGTGACTAGTATCACGCCACCTCTTTCTAGAAATATCCTGTTCCATCGTGAATTGTCGGGAGACTACTAGATTAGGGGTAGTCTGGTATATATAAGATGGTCACAACGTGACGGAACAATGAGTAAATTGAACTGCAGTCAGAGGTAATGAGTAATTGAATGTATGCGGACAAAATATTGTTGGCCACGTGAGAAGTGAGTTATAGCGTTGTTATAGCGCGACTGTTGAAATTAAGTGTATCGTAAAGTTGTATTCGGAAAGAATAAACCAGTTTTATTTAAGAAAGGACTTGTGTCGCTAAAGTTTCGTCGGAACGAATTTACGGAAAATTAACGAACGAACGGAAACGTAACAATATTATATGGGAAATTGTAATTGTTTAATAAAATAATTATCTTTATATATATATATATTGCACAGTTTTTGGACGTAAATGGATGACGTCCCCCCCCCCATTACTGAACGTATACGTATATTTAAGTCTTGGTTAGGACACTCGATTCACATCCTGTAGGTCACAGGTTCGAATTCTGTCCCCAAACATGCTCAATCTTTCAATAATAGGTGGTTATAATGTGACGGTCACATTCATTGATATGAAGTTTCAAATAAAACCAAATAATATATGCTACTCTCACAGCTTTTATTAAAATATTTAAGACTGTGTTTGGATTACAATAGTGAGTCAGTAAATGTTTCTTTTTATTGAAATTAAATTAGTTGACGTAAAAAATGAAAGGTTTAAATGTTTTAAACTTTCAATACTACTTGTAACAGCAGGTTAAATAAAATGTCAAATAATCAATATGACACCCATAATACATTGTGTTAACACAAGTTAATATATTTATATTCACCAAGAACAAAACCTATTACTCAGACTTATTTTATCAGTTATAAAGTTTTAGTGCTGTTCAAAGGACGGAAATCACAAGATAACAAACAACGTTCTTGCTTACGATCGTTTTCGCGTGCCACACGTTACAAAACTGATTGAATGTTACTGTAATACAACAATAAACGTTAACACGTGCTGGTAAAATTTCTCCGAATTTGTTTGTCGTCTTTCTAAACTGTGTCACTGAGATTATTTTCGTTGCCGTTAGGCCGAACAGATTATTCTTTATTTCAATAGCCTGTAAAACATAGATTGCTCAACCAATGGTATAGTCCCATCAAAATGACGCCCGGATAACATAAAAAACTCTTGATGAACACACTATAACCGTGAAGTCGGTGTTTCTTTTGTTGTTGTTGTTGTGTGTGCGTGTGTATTTGTGCTGGAAGATTAATATTATTTAGTAATATAAACAGGGACGTTCCTGGAATGTTTGAAAAAGGGTTCTAATTTGTGAGGTCAAAAGCCAACACATGCTAGTGCATGTCCCCCAAGAAATTAAAACAATTGCATGGCTGTTTACATAAACATCCAATGAAAAAGTCAACAAATCATCATTATATTGTAACACTGCATGGGGAGTTAAGACTTAAATTAACATAAACATGTATATTTCATTACAGTAAAGTACTGTACTATATACATGCCGAGTAGTTATTATTTGTTAAATGATATTACCTATTTATACAACTCTGTTTCAATCATTGGCTATCATATAGGTACTGAAATAACGTATTAGCATACTTCATTCGTCCAGGGCGCTTATCCATAAATAACTTACGTACATCACAAAAATAGGGGGGTTCCTAACGAACCCTCTCCTGCGTGTATAGTTATTATTTGTTAGGCTAATATTCCAGAAGTTCAACAGTGTCGTCTCTTTTTGTGTAGCTATTTATTTGAAAAGTAGATAGATTTTCTAAGATACGTAATTCTTAGAAAAATTTAATTTTAATCTCACTGAAAGTGATTTAAATTTCTAATTTTCTGCAACGTAAATAACATCCCAATAGACTTATCAATTTTTTTAGGTACATAAATATACAAACGGTTTTTCAAATAGGCCTAATTATTATATAATGTGATGTAATCCGCATGTAAGATAGTTCGAATTTTCAGGTTTTCTTTTTTTGCTGCATTGAGAAAAAGTTAAAACAGTGTGGATTAGAAAAGTACATAGTGAGAACTGAAAGACCACGAAGAGTATCAAAATATGTTCAACGTATATTAATTTCAAGTTGGATTGTTTCAGGCGAGTGGTTGCTGCCATCAGATATATTATTATTTGACTATCCTTATATTTTACTTTAAGGAGAAAATTGAGTTATTGATGATGTAAATTTATAAAGCATTTTGTAAATTTTTATAAATAATTTGTATTCGTAGGGTTACCAATGGTAGAAAATACACGATTGACAATACGGTATCAGCCACAGCATTTTGTTACCTTTCAAACATGGCGGCTCAACGAGCAGTCTATGTATTATAAAGACCATTGATTCCTATTCAGTAACCGCGTTAGGCCTAACAAGTTTTTGATTCTTTTCGTTTGGCCTAACAGTAACGGTTCTTTACGATTAAACAATGATACAAACCTTTTACGCGATTCCGTACATAAACGCCAAAGAGTTTATAAAGTTTGTCAGCGTTGAAACCTGTCAAATTACACATATATTTTTTTTGAGTAGTGCTTCGTATATAGTCGGTTAATAATCGTACATGTAATATACCCAGTACACGATCACAAAAGATGCGAAACAAGTAGGAAATATAACCCTAGAGAACAGATCAACTTTGCTAACGTTTCTCGTTGATGGTTTTTCAATAGTTTGATTGGCGTGTCCTATGTTTGGATTGGTCCAAGCTTGTGTAGGCGAACGAGTTTTAGTCGAATTAGCGATGGCATTCCGATCGTTTTTCTCGGGATTTTTCTGTTAACGAATAAAAAAAAATAACAGTATTTAAGTGACTTTCATGTTGTTGTTTTCGCTAAAATTAATAAATACGTCTGCCTGTATTCAACTGTTTTTATAACATTTTTCAAAGCAAAGGCAAAAAAAAAGATTGTCCCTGATAAACTTATCTAAAATGATAAAGTTTAAAAATTCGTTGACGTAAATTTTTTTTTAAATATTAAATACACCACTTTATAAACGTTTGATAAAAATATCACAATTTTCGTCTCAATTCTGAACTCACTAAAATGTGTGACGTTACATACATCTCTGGTTTTCGTTTTTCTTTTGTTGCAATAAAGAAATATAAAAGTTAATAGAGGGCGTTGTTGCGTGGTGTTTTCTTTCCTTATAGTTTGTTTGGCTCTTCAGAATTTTCACACAACGCTAACATAATCTGGTTTTTCGGTTGTTTTTTTTTAATTATCAAAATGGAAGCTGGAACATTATGAAATTATAACAAATACGATTAATCAACAGAAAATATATTTTTATTACCAACGTTTCACCATATCAAGGAATAGTTATATAATACCAACACGGTTTGCACAATATACTATACTGTTAGGATATAAATATAACAATCTCTTGATGTCGCGAAACGTTGGTAAGATATATATATATATTTTGGGTGATAATTGTTAAAGTTTCCCGGTTGTCCTAGATTTAGTTTAGACTTGAATTTTTCAGACAATACTCCAGATTTACTGAATCGAAAAATATAAAAAATGTCTTTGAAACTCAACCTTCATTCTTTATACTAATGTCACCGATACAGAGCTCAATTGATTTTTCTGAAATTCTCTTCGACTGCGCATGTCCGGGGTGTTTTCAAGAAAATTTATGTAATGTACGTGTTTACATACTAACATATGATAAAGAAACTTTGTAGAGTTTGAAATAAAGTCCTTTGTCTATAATTAATAGCCTAAAACGCATTAATTATTTGAATACTATCCTGTAATAATTAATTATTCATAATTTGTTAACGAGTTAGGGTTAGCTGGTACGTCATTTTTGGATTTTTCTTTTCCTCACAAAATGTGAGAAGAAAAGAAAGAAACCATGGATTAATCAAAACAATTAAATATTTCCATCTCTATAAGAAGCCGATTGTACTTGTTAGATTTGCTTTCTTATATAGTACTGTGATTTCGGCGAAACTAGTCTACTGCGGAGAGCTTTTGTTTGTTTATAGTTAAAGGCCGAGCTATACAAGAGGCTATCTCTGCCGTGTGTCCGCTACAGGTATCTAAATTCGGTTTTTAGCGTTATACTTCTTCAGACTTACCGCTTCACCACTGGGGGGGGGGGGGGGCATCTGTAGAGGGAGCAGCAAACCAAAGAATATATTTGGCCTCTACGTCATTTGTGGATTTTTTATTATTATTTTTTTACAATTAATTTATCAGATAGAGAATATTTTTGGAAATATTAAACTAAAACTTTATATATAATTTATAATGCTTTCTCTGAACAAATGATTGGTTTTAGTATGACAACAGTTTGTTATTTTATAATACCTAATAAGACATTCTTCATTTATGTTAAAAGTGAAAACTTTAATCATCAAACCTTATCGAAATTTCCAAAATATTTCCCAGCCAATGGGTTTACTCCAATTTTATTGGGCTTAGTTTTGAGGCTAATGGTGTAGGCTATGGCGTATTCTAGCAGCGTTGCAAAGACGACATTCAGACAAACAAATAACCAAATATCCAGAGCGTTGACGTAACCCACAGGAGGAATGGCGCTTCGTGATTGGACAACTTGAGTCACGAGTGTCAGTAGGGAAGTGACGCCGAGTGTAATGCGCGCCGGAACGGCGTTAATGTCCAACCAAAACGACAACCATGACATCACCACCACTAGGCTGCTTGGAATATAAGTATTTACTAAGTAGGCCGTTAGATGGCGAGCAAAAATGAAGCGAACAACAAGAGTGCTGTAATTACCTATAAAATATATAAAAAAGACAAATAAAAACTAAATAATCCAAATATTACAACAAAACATATATTAGTTTGTAAAAGAAATATGAAGACTTTTCTTCTTTTCAAAAGTGTGAACTTTTTTACACAGAAACAAAATTATACTACAATCTACAATTCTATGAAATTAATACATTCCAATGTTAGATATAGCAATCAATTTTGTTTTGTATTTAAAGATACACGGACAGAACACTCCACTCTTTTTTTTTCTACTTACACGAAGAAAATAAATTTAACAAAATGTATTTATTTATATATATTTAAAATTGGGATTTCGTGATCTGGTACACAGATACTATAAATAATATTAATTAATTTCACCGCCTACGTTTAGACATTTCATGACAGTACCCCTTGCAGGATGGTATTATTTTTATTGTTTGACAAAAGTCTGAAAGGGTTTGGAGACTTCTCTCTCAGTAAATATTCACTCCACAATATTCCCCTCTACGCATTTGTCATTAGATTAGATTAGATTTTTAAAAGGGGTTTTGATGGCCATGTGCACTTTTCTGGGATTATTAAACACAAAACCAAAGAAAAAAAAGAGGAATGCGCAGAGTTCTTTAGATCTTGGATAGTGAACATCTTTACCGAAAAACAACCATGGTAGACATTTAAACATAAGGCCAGGGATGGACAGTTGTCTCTCTTCACGCAAACGGATGTGAAGTTAACAAGTTAAGTTAACATATATAAAAACAAGCAAACAAAAAACTGAAGAACTGATATGGAGCAGTAACAACATAAAGGAAGTAACAGAAAGTGGAGGAGGAAAGAAACTAAATAAAACTACCATGATCTTAAACTAAATAAAACTACCAAGATCTTAAACTAAATAAAACTACCAACTAAATAAAACTACCATGATCTTAAACTAAATAAAACTACCATGATCTTAAACTAAATAAAACTACCAAGATCTTAAACTAAATAAAACTACCAAGATCTTAAACTAAATAAAACTACCAACTAAATAAAACTACCAAGATCTTAAACTAAATAAAACTACCAACTAAATAAAACTATCAATACCTTAAACTAAATAAAACTACCAATATCTTAAACTAAATAAAACTACCAACTAAATAAAATTACCAAGATCTTAAACTAAATAAAACTACCAATATCTTAAACTAAATAAAACTACTAAGATCTTTCTATTCAGGATCTTTAGATCGTTAAAAATAAATAAAATAAGTCTAGTCTCGGGAAGGTCTAAAACTACACAGATCTGTGAATTGTTCTCGATTCACATATTCATCCACTGATCATTGATCAATATTATCGATATCACAAACTTGGCTTTATATTATCTCTGTCAAATGAAAGATACACATCAATTTTTTTATCTGTTTTGTTTGCGGTTTATTCACAACCTGTGTTCCAAACGGTTACTTCTGTCTTTGTTTCCAGTTTCACAAATCGGTATTCCGGCAGTTCAATATCTCCTACAACTTTTACACTAGACATCCAGTCGTAGCGCCCCCTACTTTCTCCTGTCCATCGAAGCTGAACGATATCGTCTGAATATGAATCTAAGGTGAACGACAAGCAATTGGTTAGTGATCCAGAAGTTTTGATCGCTTAAAATCTAGAAACGGTCCAGATAAAAATTAGTAAAAATGAAATATAGGTGAAGGTAGGTGAGGTTAAATAAGTCACAGATAATAAGTTTTCGTATTAATTAAGAAACGTCGTCTGTGAAGGTATGTGAGGTTAAATAAGTCACAGATAATATGTTTTCATATTAATTAAGAAACGTCGTCTGTGAAGGTAGGTGAGGTTAAATAAGTCACAGATAATATGTTTCATATTCATTAAGAAACGTTGTCTGTGAAGGTAGGTGAGGTTAAATAAGTAACAGATAATAAGTTTTCATATTAATTAAGAAACGTCTGTGAAGGGAGATGAAGTTAAATAAGTCACAGATAATAAGTTTCATATTAATTAAGAAACGTCTGTGAAGGGAGATGAAGTTAAATAAGTCACAGATAATAAGTTTCATATTAATTAAGAAACGTCTGTGAAGGT